CTTATATAAGCCTATAACCAAACTGCTGCTATTGATTTACTTTTTGCCTGTTGAGGAGCTATAGCTAGATTTTTGAAGGATAAAATTGCCTTCTTGTAATGCTGGCAAAATATATCTGAAGTACACTTATGTAGTTATGTGTTCCATCCAGTTCTTTCTGCATCTCTAAAAGTTACCTGATAATCTTTTCTGTATGACTATTGTTGAATAATGTCTGTCTGTTTTTTCTCAAAATTTATTGTCATCAAAAAACGTTTGTGCCTAATCAGGTATTCAGGTGCTATTTGCTTTTACTTTTTATGCTGTTTGCAAATTGTTGTGAACGGCATAACTTCCAAGTCATCCAGGATTAGGTGGTGAATTTAACAATTCAACAATTCCGTCTATTCTGTGATGTAATAATTCTCCTAAAGCTTAGGTTTTAATTGGATTGTACTAGGGGTCGCAAATGGACTGTTTGGGCTAGTCAAGATGAGCTGACTCATTAAATGGGTCATTGCCCAACCCTGCCCAAAGTTCACTTGGGCTGGTGAAATGAGTTTGGGTTAATTTTGCCACTCCTAGATTGTGCACTCTGTGGCCAATATTCTCAATTTCAGTATACATTAATAAATCTCGTGGAAAGTACTGGTCTCTTGTTATTGGTGAACATTACAATGTAGTGGTGCTCGTCTTCTTTTTTCTAATATGCGCGTTTAAAGGAGATTGCAAGGAGAAACTCTTACTCTTATTGGTTAAAATGGTTAAAATGAAGAATGTGAAATATATCGAGATAATTGCACTTTACAAGTTCCCCAGTTTTGTTCCTTTTGTGTACTAGTGAAGGAAAAAACCTTAATATGATTGGATCTTACTGTCACATGTAAAATGGAAATGTTCCAAAACAATATAGATTCAGAATGCACATTATTCTCTTCTTTGCTGATTGTGTCGTAAGAGTGTGAAATAGTGGTGTTAAATAATTCTGCTATGTTTTCTCTCAGGCTGATGCAGATAAAGATGGAAGGCTTACTCTAAAAGAGATGATTGATAGCCCATACGTGTTCTATAGTGCAATATTTAACGAGGATGACGAAGACTATGAATACCATGATGAGTTTCGCTAGTTCAGGGCTAGGTTAGGATGGCTTTTCTACTTTCTAACCCTAAGTTGTTAGGCAACATCCACTTCTAGTTATTTAAATTATGCCTTCAACAAGCCCTCTCACGTGCGGGCTTGAATTCTTTTTCATGAGTCGAGCACATAGAATGGGGTCACTAAGGGCAAACTGGATCATATGACTTGGACATCTCGAGAAACTTGTGGCTTTTTCTTTCTGCTTATTTACGTGCAAATATTTGCATTACTTTCTTAGTGGACTTTCTTTTTTTGTTTGCAGGATGGCTCAAGTTACTCGTATATCATACTTTTTAGTTTGGAAATTTTTATACATGTGGTGAGACATCAAAATTTTATTTATCAGATAGTTTTCTTTGTAATCGCCGTCTTGATCAAACCATTATCGACAATATAATCCTACTTCCATTATTTTGTAGAAGAATTCTAGTGGGACAAACTTTACATGCACAACATTTGTTTTAGCCATCCAATTTCTTTATTTTCAGTGTCCCAATTGTTTTTATGTTATACCTTTGCAATTCTATACATAATAATTATTTTTAATCCTACCATCGAAGCTGCGTGCCATCTTGTTGTTCAGTCTGGCATTTTTCAACTGACCCAAGTGATATGGTGTGTTGATATGAGTAAGTTTACTATTCGGGTAACGGATATTTGTTCTTGATACGAGTAAGCTTACTGTTCAAGAAACAGATTTTTGTTTTTGATTGGAAGTTAAGTCTTCCAATAAATTTATTGTCAAGAAAATAAACTCAACGATTTTTTCAGGCTTCACAAAAAATGAACAAGAGAATCAACTAGGTCTTGTTTCAAGTAGTTATTATTTTAAGCTGGGGCTTGTAATTGGATAACCTTTGTACAGGCATGGTATTCTCAAGTGTTAAATAGGTAGTACTTGTGAGCAAGTAGGCACGTACAAAAATTGTGAAATGGATAATTTAGATTGTAGTAATTGCACCTAAGTGTGTGGCCTAGTGGTCTATAAAAGAAAATATGAGATTTTAGGTTTAAATTTCAGTAGAAGCAAAAAATACTAGATGATTTCTTTACATGGAGCATTGTGTAGTTACTCAAGCTAAATCGGATGCCATCATCATTTAAAAAAAAAAACAAGAGATATTGATTGAAGTTAACCATACCAATTAGTTGTTATCATTAGCCTCCAGTAATAACTGTCATTTCATATTGGTGCTTCCTTGAATTCAAGCACTAGAGTTACTGGCTATGGAAAAAATTAGCACTAACGCACACTGTCTAGGGGATAATCCTTAAAAAACTCTGTTTAATTAAATCTCAGTGTGAAACCATGCCTATTCAGATAATCTGAATATTCATCTTTTCTCATTGGTTATTTCATTTCGCAAGAACTGATTGTTTATAATTGAGGGACATTTTGAGCAGTTTCAACACAATCCACCTGTGTTTTTAATTACAGCGATCGTATCTTCCATCATTGGACGATAATAGTGTGAAAGGCAAAGCCAAAAAAATATTCAATTAAACACTCAGCTCTTCATCGTAAATGAGTTTAAGTTCTACGTACAAAGGAGTTTATATATATACCTAGTTTTGAGTTATCATTGATGTTATATCCGCATAACGTATTGCACAAAACTTTGCAAGTTTATCCGTTTTAGAATCAATTTCAGACTTGCGAGTCTGAAGCTAGAAAAATTCACGCCTGAAATTGCAAATTTTAGATGCACTTGAGACTGTTTTAATCTTAAGTGCAACTACTTTCTCCATTCACTTAAGACTTTTTTTAGTCTGAAATGCAAAAAAAAAAATGCATTTAAGATGCACTTAATTGGTCTGCAGGGCAGCTAATTTTTGCATGCACTTAAGACTTTTTAGTCTGAAGTGCAAATTGTCCAGAAACAGAAACTTGTTTTTCGAATTTCAACAATCCAACAAACGATTCAACATCCAAATCTACTCAAAAATGAGCTCAAAACTAAAATATAACTTTCAAATATCATAAAGAACCAACTCCAACCATCAATTTGTCAAAATAATAACAAATCTGACAAACTCATTTTGCAACTAAGAGGAAGAAGAAGAAGAAGAAGACACCAGCAATAGCAAAGAGAGGAGCGCCACATCACCACACTACCGTAAAACACTATAAACCACCTTAAAACTTGGTCGCAAACACCATGTAAATCCATCGTCACCTTCATTTTCACATCAACTAAGAATAAAGGTCTGAAATTATCTGTACTTTGGGTACTAATTAAACTTCTTTTAAAAAGTGAATACAAGTTAAATGGGGCCGACCAAATAGCGTGTCCCATGAAATTTTTTATTACGCATAGATCGTGTAAAATATTTACATAATCAGGTCATTTATTAGGCAATTACAAGTAAAATTCAAATAATTACTAATTGATAATTAGGTGAAACTTATAACTATGTTAAAATTCATTAATAGCATAAAAGAATTGTTACATCAATCCATGAAAATTATAGCTCTTTTCCATGTTATAGCCCCACTATTGTCGGTGCACACTAAGGGGTCGTTTGGTAGGATGCATTGGATAAGCTAATGCATGCATTAGCTTTGTGTATTAATAATACATTGTTTGGTAGACATTTTGAACCTATGCATTAGTTATGCAAGCATTAGTTATACATCCTATTTGGTATTATTCTATGCATAACTAATGCATAGAAAACAATGATATTAGCAATGCAATGGGTTTTAATGCATGCATTAGCTTAGTTAAAGACAAAATTGTCCTTCAAAATTTATGCTTGATTAAAATATGCTAGTTAGTATATTAATGCAAGTTCAAAATAATCCAAATAGTGAGAAATAAAATTATATCCCTAGTAAATAAATAAATACTTAACATATTTCCTTTTTTATAAATAAATATTAAATTTTATTTTACAATACAGGTAGACAAATAAAATAATTTTTTAAACTTTTTCACATAAAAACTTTTCTCAACATATGTTTCTTTTAAAAAGTTAGAGTGTGGATTAGTTTTGAGGGCATTATTGTAAACAAACAATTCTTTTAGAAACTGAGCAATGCTTTAATACATCAAACCAAACAATGGATAAGAAATATGTCAACATAACTAATACCAGCATAACTAATGCAAGCATAACTAATACCAGCATTACTAATACACCCTATTCAGCATTATACTTATGCACCCTACCAAACGACCCCTAAGATTTATAAGTATAAAACAAATACCATAAGCAGCCAGCCATGGATATCTCTCTTTGTTATATAGCAATATTGTGAACTGAAACAAGGTTGAAATGGTCACCTTATTTGCACTGGACCAGTCCCCTGTTCAACCAGAGAAAATATCTACGTACACAATTGAGGTTGAAAACATAAAAATCAGTGTACTGATGATGCCTAGGCATTTAAACATATTAGTAAAATATTTGATACGCTGTAAACAAAGCAGTAGATGTGAAAGTTAATGAACAATAACAGTAAAGTAAGAAGATACAGATGCCTAAAGCAATATATATAATAAAAAACAAGGTACTCCTGCTATTTATCACTAACAGTACATATGAGATTTTCTAACTAAATCCTCAGGCTACAAAACTAGCTTTAAGATATTCCATCAACAACACCAGTTATATAAATATTCAATCGGAACTTGTTCTATCATCCAAATGTTACAGGAGTACAATTGCTTTTAAGTTGAGAATTCCAGCGACCAGAAAATCATCCAAATATCAACACAGACCATTATGATGTTTGAACAACGGCAGGGTATTAAAAAGACAACCTCATATTCTAGGTTTCATCTATCAATATTAAAGGACAATCAGGATTACATTTTAACTTTTAGGGGAAGGTATATTACTAAGCCTAATAATGTAAACAAGCAACTTTGGTTAACAGTAAGCATAAACAAGTAGTATCAGCATAGCAATAAGAATGACAATAGATACAAGCGCTTACCAATTTCAAATCTAAACATCCAGCCACAATTCATCAATTAGAAGAAATAACAGAATGCATTCATTGCAAAGACTTTGTAAGTATCAAATATATGAGGCAACCACACCAGGTGAAAATAAAAAATACCACACACACTCATAAATCATTTCCGCTTAGCTGACATCATCCTCACTATTTTCATCTTCATCAGTGTCAGAGGGAGGTGAAGGGTCAAGCCTAGCAGCATCAATGGCCCACTTAATCACCTTCTCAACTTCATCGTCATCCTCTTCATTCTCCTCCGCAGCCTGTTGGTTAGCCGAAGAAGAATAAGCGGGAAGGGAGCTTTTGAGAGCTGCAAATCTGGGAAACAAGTTAACATCGGAAGCTGTAGAGGTTGAACATGGTTGTTGGGGAATAGGGTTTTTGGTTTTGGGGGTTTGCTTGAATTTGAGGGCACGGAAACGTTGATCGAGATCTGGATCGATGAATTGGGTGGAAGAACCACGAGCCATATGGGAATTGAGGCTGAGCTTGAGGAATACGTCATCCTCTGCCGCCCGCAGCAGCTCTTCAACCTCGTCGTCTTCCGCCTTCTTCTTCCTCCTATTGTTGTTGTCGATACCTCTGCTCATTCTCTTCCTGTTGATGACACGGTACCACACTTGGCCAATTCAAACTTCAAAGACAATAGACGATCAGGCTGTATCTGGTTGAAAGAAAGAAAATTACAAGTTCAATTTGTAAAAATAGTACTAATGTAGTATTTGGTTCTAATTGTGTTTGGATATGATTTTCCTGAAAAAACAAGGTTAGATATCTATAAATAAAAATTCTTATTTCATATTCAAAGAAGTGTTTAAATAATACCCTAAAATCCCCCTAAACTATCATATTTTTGTCAATTTCCTACTTAAACTATTCAGTGTCCCCAAAAACCTCCATGAACTATATTGCCCTTCATATTAAAAATCACTCATTGCATTCTTAGAGGTGCGTGTAGTACACTGTCCTATTTATTTAAAAAATGTGACATGTAGCACTACACGTGACTATTCAACTCAGCCTAAAACCCACCTAAACTTTCACCATTTTGTTAGTTACCTACTTAAACTATCTAGTATCCCCAAAACCCCCCTGAACTATATTCCCCTATATATTAAAACCCCATGTTGCGTCTGTCTAACTATATTAACTTATGATTTTTAAAGAGTTTTTTATGCAGTTTACTCATGATGTATTATTCTGGGATGATTAATTAATTAATTTTATGAGTTTTGGCCAAAATAATAATTAATGCATTGTATTAATTTTATTTGTGATTATGCTTGATGCTAAACTTCAATTGAATAAGTCATTTATATTCACTTTGTACCACAGAAAAATATAAATAAAGACATATAGTGTTTCTTAAAAATCATCTTATATTACATAAAAAAGATTGCACAAAATAAAATTTCGCAAATAAAAAATCAATTGGCCAACAAATAAAATTATATTCTCTAATTCCAGATTACATAAAGAAGGTTCAAGATATTCAACTTTATTATCTACAAGGTATTGAGTTTAATAAGAATATTTAAATTGGTATTCTTTCAACAATATGTGTAAGAAATGAAAGAAGACTAAAACAAGAAAGAGAATAAATCATTTCAGAGGAAACAAGAGAGGGAGAAATTTTTTCAGAGGAAACTCATATGGCGAAATGAAGAAAAAGGGTTAAAAATAAAGAAGAAATGTTAAAAAATGGAAAAATAGTTAAAAAATGAGGAAGAAAGGTGGATATAACTGAAATATGGAGAATATTTATTAAAAAAATAAATGTGAAAGAGGGTTAGGCTAATTGGCCATTATTTTCTGTCATATAAGCCATTTTGATGGCTTTTTTCAGCTGTCACGCGCTCTTAAGCGAGTGTTTGCACACGTTATGCCAGGTCAGCGACGAGGGGGCTTTAATACGAAGGACAATATAGTTCAGAGAATGTTTGGGGACACCAAATAGTTTAAGTAGGAAATTAACAAAAATGTTATAGTTTAAGGGGATTTTAGGGTATTAACTCTATTTTAATTATACTAAAGTATCTGTGCCAAAGTCAGTATTTATAAATAATTTTTTTTTGGTAATTATAATTTTTATTAATCACCAAAGCAATCGTTATAAAACAGCATAGTTATCCTCGACTTGCGACAATCCATACATAACCCTATCTCTATAACTATACTATATGTAGTACATAAAGCCTCATAGAACTATCTTTGCCTGCCAGTCTTTGTATTGTTACTTTTGCCTTTAGAAATGAAGTTGCTGCATCTTTGTCCTCACTCCCCCTCATGCTCTAATGTTGCATATGCATGCCACTTCTCTAGTTATTTCTACATTCCTTGCTTGATCTTCAAACACTCTAATATTCCTCTTTTTCCAAATCACGTAGGTGTATTCTGCATACATCATCTTGAGTATCTTTGTTTTACATGACTTATCTTTGGATTGAAAAAGCAGCCATGTAAACACTTGTTGCCAAGAATTAGTTGGAGCATCCAATAGTTGTAACCATCTTAACAATCTCATCCATACTGCTTTGGAGAAGCTACACTCACCAAAAGATGGAGATGTGATTCATCTGCAGCCATACATAGAATGCACTGTGAATTCACTTGGATTCCCCATTTGGCTAATCAATCCACAGTTAACAGCCTTTCATGACACTAGAGCCACATTGTAAATACTGTTTTAAGTCTAGCCTCATTATGGAATAACAAAGTTCTCCATTCCACTTTGTCATGATTACCCAGGAGCCCTAAGTATATATGTTTAATGAAGCTCTTCTTCTGCTTTAGAGCTGGTACTCGCTGCATATTTTTCCTAGCATCCAGAATCTTCCTCACCATCCAACTTGCCTGTTGTGGGATAGCCATGTCAAGTATACTTTGCCCTTTGATGTAGTATGCATGAATCCATCTTATCCAAGCTTTATCCTCCTTATGAGCCAGGTCCCAGTGTGTTTTAGTTATTGCTACCTTATTCCACACTTGGAGATTTGTCAAGTTATAGCCCCTACTGATTTAGACAGGCACATCTTGTCCCAAGCTATCAATGCTCTTTTTGTGATTGTATTGGTGCCAGACCATATGTAATTTTTTTTTGGATTTGCAAATTGATTTTTTTATAGCTAAACGATGAATTTTAAGCTAGTCTCTATTTGCAAATACTAAAGTATTTTTTCGGTAAACCAATTTACATTTACGTACAATACACGTATCCATGATAATTAGCGATAAATTTGTATTTAAAGTGATAAAATAATTTTAAATCTTTATCTTGTAAAAATTAATTTAAAGATTTAGAAAAATAAGAAAGTGCATATTGTATACGGGTGAAACCGAGCCCGTCAGACACCTCAATATTTGGTGAATCAAATGGAGCAGAGACGCAACCGTACGAATCAGAGTCAAAGTAAGGATCCCCTCGCATCGAGGTTCGAGCAAAATACCTGCCCTCGGAAGCATCGGGGCCATATATCCCAGGTCCGATTCGAACCACAAAGCTTCGGGGGGCATTATCAAACGATCGCACACGACTAACAAAGAGTCGTGATATTCGTGTCCAACCGAATGTCATGGCGTAAATCTCGGCTCGTATCAGTAGTGGATCAGTGAATAGCAAGAAGAAAGATTTTTGCCTTTCTTAGAATTGTACTTAGGGTAAAATTCACCTATTATATAAAGAGAAAAACTTATTATTCATAGGACACAATGTAACACGTATATCAAGGAACTATCATTATTTTTCTCTGTTCCAACTTTTGTTCATCAGTTCTCCATTATTGTGAGCCCGAGATTGAGGAGGCAGGCACTTCATTAAGCCATTACTGAGTCCGAGATCACTCTCACTATTGGTTTGGAAATTTATTACGTCCTTTATCTGTTTAATCTAACGCCATTAATCGTTTATATTGAATTAACCTACATATCCTTAAAATTACATATAAATTCAATTGTTATACGTTTTTTAGGGTAAATAGTTTGGCGCTCACTGTGGGGCTAAGGATAATAGTGACAATTTGATACAAATTTTCGTAATGCACTCTGCTTTAATCTTGTTCTTTGAGATTTTAATTTCAGGTTAAATATAAGAATATCAAACTCTCAATTTGCTCATTTGAACGTTGATGGTGACTCTAGTCACCATGGCAAGAACAATAAAATAGTGCCCAGCAACGAGGTTTCCTCTGCAAACCCCAACGGAGCCCCGGTCACACACCCAATCGATGCTAACTCCCATGTGGCCATCGACGCTAACTTGTCCACCGACCCAGAAAAAAGCATTCATGGGGGAGCCAGGTCGGTAGCCAAGGATACGCACGACGATGAAGGCGATATGATCAATTTGCGGATGATTTTCGAAATGTTACAAGCTCAACATGTGGCAATAGCCCAGTTACAGAACCAAAGCCACGCCCCCAACAGAGTTGAGCCCGAACCATCCCGGGAGAACACCTGAAGAAATGAATGAACCTAAAAAAGGGCGGGTAATGCTGAAACTAGGGCCAACCCCGAAATAGTAAGGATGCTCGAGGAATTGACGAAGCGAGTAGAATAGCGGGAAAAGAAGATCGAAGCTAACGACAAAAAAGTGGAGACCTATAACTCCAGCGTTGATCAGATTCCAGGAGCACCCTCGATATTGAAAGGCCTGGATTCCAAGAAATTTTTCCAAAAGCCTTTCCTTCCGAGCGCAGATCCGAAACCAATCCCAAAGAAATTCCATACGCCCGAAATTCCGAAGTACAATGGAACAATTGATCCAAATGAACATGTGACATCCTACACGTGTGCCATCAAGGGGAACGATTTAGAAGATGATGAAATTGAATCCGTTGTGCTGAAAAGTTCGGTGAAACCTTGTCAAAAGGAGCTATGATATGGTATCACAACTTACCCCCTAATTCTATTGATTCGTTTATTGTGCTTGCAGATGCTTTTGTAAAGGCGCGCGTCGGGGCCACCAAGGTCGAGACCCAGAAGTCAAACCTTTTCAAAGTAAAGCAAAGGGATAACGAGATGCTTAGAAATTTGTGTCGAGGTTTCAAATAGAATGGATGGATCTGCCTCCGATCGCAAATGATTGGGCCGTTAAGGCATTCACCCAAGGACTTAACCCTCAAAGCTCATTGGCTTCACAGTAGTTGAAACAAAACTTGGTAAAATAACCGGCGGTAACTTGGGCCGACGTCCATAACAGGTACCAATTAAAAATCAGAGTCGAAGATGATCAGCTCAGGACCCTTTCCAGATCAGTATATCCCGTCAGAAGTAGTGACAGATCCAAAAGAGCTGTCGATCATGAACCAAGATCGAACAGAGATCAATACCAACCCTATAACGGAGATCGAAGGGGTAATGGATCCGGACGCAACCCTGCGATGAGTGAAAAAAGGAACGATCGAGGTCACAATAGTCGGGGACTCATGAGCAAGAACTGTTTCGACATGCCACTCGGGGCCAAGGAGGCACTGAGATTATCGGAATACAACTTCAGTGTCGATGCTGCCAATATTGTATCCTCCACCGGACGCATCAAAGATACCAAATGGCCTCGATCGTTGCAGTCTGATCCTGTCCAAAAGGACCCCAACCTAATGTGTAAGTATGATGGCACTCACGGCTACAGAATCGAAGACTGCAGACAGCTAAGAGAAGAGGTAGCTTGGTTATTCAATAACTGACACCTCCGAAAATTTTTGAGTGATCGAGCCAAAAATCACTTCAGGAATAGGGACTCTAACAAGTAGA